TACCAAGAGCCAAACTGTTTGAGGGAGCCAGGAATTCCATGTCCTGGATGACTGTGGCCTCAGTGAGGCCAGGTAGAAAAGAAGAGAAGGTTAAACACACGTACGTGCACGCACACATAGCTCTTCCTGGAGGTAAGATTTTCATCTTATTATTCTCCCTTTTAACTCTCCTCCCTTCCCTTAGCACTCCTAGAATGTGGTCGACTACATTGAGACATCTTGTTTCATTTATGCAGTTACATTGCTTTTGAGATACCAAAATTCTGGTTACTGCCAGCTTACTTTGCCACACCACTGCAAATTCCTTGCTCAAAGGCAGAAACTCTAGCACAGTTACTCCTCTTTATAAGCAGGAGAGTCTTTGCCTGTGGGGCATAATTTGAGAAGCACCCTAGAGTCCTGTAGCCTGGGTAATAGTTCCCTCTCCCTCATCTCTAGAAAGATCCATTCTTTCAGGGTAAGTTATGGTCTTTAGGAGGACCAGGGTCAAATCGTGATGCTAGCTTGTATTTGCCCAGGGTTTCTTGTGTTTCAGGCTCCATACTAAGTGCTTTGCTTATGTTAACTCTTTAAATCCTTAGAATGATGCTGAAAGGCGGATCCTACTATTACTTACATTTTATAAAAAAGAAACAAGGAGGTAATAATACTTGTCCAAAGCCACACAGTTGGTCAGTGTCAAGCAGGATTTTGAAGCCAGGAAGTCAGATGCTTTAAGCTTAATTCATATCCATTACTTGATGCCAGTTTTTGAGTAAGATGAGGTCACCTGGCAAAGGAAGGCGAATTCAAGCTAGCCAGTGCTTCCCCTTGAAGAGTGGCCTCAGGTGGGAGGCCAAGCTGTGGTTCAGACACAGGAAGGGGTGGAGTGGTTCTGTTCAGAAACACCAGAACATTGACAGATCTTAGGGGGAGTCCGGGTTTCAATGGAGGATAGAGATGACAAATTAATCTTGTAAGCTGTTCCCTGGTAGCCATGAAAAAGAGAATGTAATCGGAACATTGGGCTGGAAGAAATGGTAGCTAAATTTACTGTGCATAATGATCACCTGCAGTGTTTGCTAAAATGCAGATTCTCGGGCAGTAGTCCAAGAGGTTCTCACTCACCTGAGTGTCTGGGGGAAGCCTAGGACTTTCCATTTGTAACAAGTGTAGCAGAGGATGCGGTTAGCTTTCTGACCACCCTTCAGGGAGAACACCATATTGGCCTAAGATCATCACGCAGTTTTATATTTTCAAAATTTTTCATAGCTTTAATCCATTCTTCACCTTTCAATGGTAGGCAAAGAACCTACCAGAGTGGTTATATTTTGTATCTACTTTGTCACAAGTAATCAGTTTTTTTTGCCTTAGTTATATGCATTCTAAAGCCTATTCTTTAAAAAATATTGAAAAAATTTTGCCCAGCCTAATCACACATACTATGCCAAATATTTCTTTCTGCATATTTATTTCAGTGCAATAATATAAAACAACAAAACAGCATAACTTTTGATGTGAATGACTTTCAAAATATACTTTAATATATTTTTTAAAGAGTTTCTCTTTTCTTGAAAAATACTATGTGTAATGTTTAAGAGAAAAGAGTCAAGCCTTTCTGAGGCCTTGTTGGGCTTATTCCATGTAATGCTCATAGGCATGCGTTCAGGACTGTGAATCTAAGAGGTCTGGAGAGGAAGAGAAAATAAGATATTTCCTTGTTTCCAGGCATGCGTTCCTGTTTGGGGTGGAAGTGAATACTTGGCATGGTGATCAGAGATGCTTACCTGTGCTTTGCATCAAGCAGCTAAAATGAAGTGGTAACTGCCAGAGAATGGAGACCCCAGTCAGGCATGATGGAAATGATACAGCCTCTCAGGAGGTGTGTATAGCAGGCAAGCCCTACGTGAGTGTACAGAGGCCTCAGAGGAGGAAAAGGCAACACTATGGAATTTGGATGCCCGATGAGAAAATGCGTACATACAGAATAAAAATTTACAACATTCTTTGAATAATCATTTTGGGGCTAATCTTTGGAAAGCATTAATGTCAGAAAATACATTTCTGCCCTGTGAATTGAGTGGGTAACTGTTAGAAAGAGGAAATTAGAATGCTTTCTCTTAAAATAAATTGAACTCATTTTATCATTAAGCCTATAAGTTACCTTTTTTTTTTTGGTGAGGAAGATTGGCCTTGAGCTAACATCTGTTGCCACCCTTCCTCTTTTTGCCTGAGGAAAATTGTTGCTGAGCTGACGTCTGTACCAATCTTCCTCTATTTTGTATGTGGGATACTGCCACAGCACAGCTTGATGAACGATATGTAGGTCCATGCCCGAGATCCGAACTCACAAGCCCCAGGCCGCCAAAGTGGAGTGCTGAACTTAACCACTAGGGCACCAGGCTGGCCCCTATAAGTTACATATTTTTATAGATATTCTTCTATATGCATCGAGTAAAATATAATAAAAATTAAAAATTGGTTAGCACCAAAACTCCACTATAACCTAATAAACTACTTTTTTTTTTTTTTTTTTTTTACTACTTTTAGCGGCAAACTCTTCCTTTGCTGCAATAGGTCACAATGGATGAGCATTTTTATTGAATAAGTCTTGGCTTTTCAAGCTGAAAACATACTCTTGGCAATTTATGAGAATAATTTTCCTCTGAAAGAAGTTATATTGCTTGCATTTGAGCATCCCACACTCTAGGATGGTGAATACGGGAGCTGAATTCCTTGAGGTGACAGATCAGAGGCAGAACATGGAGTGTAGGGATGGGGAGGGCAGAAGTGGTGTGAAACCCTTATCATCTGTTCACACTCAAGTGGAAGCCCTGGCAGAGTGACAATCCTAGCTTATAAATGGGACATGGTCCGCCATTTTTCTCGGGAAGTCAGTTGCCTGACAGGACGCATTTTCTCATAGAAAGAATGCTGTAAATGGTATGTAGTATCCCGCACAAGCCACAGAAACTATTTAACCAATGTGTGACCAAACAAGACCAGTGGGAAAGCGGCAGACTTCTTTACATTTTCAGGAGGCTGAGATCTGCGGAAAGAGGGCGCATGCCTCAAAGTAAAGCTCTGTCTCTTCTTGGCTGTGTGAGCTTGGATAAGTGACTTGCTCTCTAAAGCCTCAGTTTTCTCCTAGCGAAAATGGAGAATAATAATGGTCCACTTCGTAGCTTCTTGTGAAGAGTAAATAAAATGCTAAATACATATAAACAATTTCAGCCAGTGATGACAAAGGTAGACATCACAATAATAATATTTATTATTACTATTTGAGTGAATTCCTGTTGACTTGTGAGTGACTTATGGCTTCTTACACCTCTGGTGGTATCAGCATTTAAAATAGAGACACTCGCTCACTTTAATTTGTTCTGCAGAACTTTCTGGCACTAAAACTTGGTTAGACTATATAAAAATTCAGGCTGTTTTGTGAAGATGGTTTGAGCACAGAATCACCATGAAAAACAACCAGCAATGTGTGGAGTCAACATCTCAAAGCTGTGCCTTCTTTTTCACTTTATACCATGAAATTTTTTGTTAGCTGGTTTCTGGTTCTATTATACTATCAGCCAAGCCAAGGCTATGAGGTCAACATGGATGGCTCATCTTTTATTATATCTGCTACCTGAGAACCCAAATGGGACCTAGTAGGAGCTGAACAACCTATTTTAAATTCTGTTTTCCTGGTGAATTTCTGAATATGAGAACATGTGTCTAACAATAAAATAAAGGCTGTTAAACCTTTTAGATTTGTGAGTTCTTTTCAGAACGTGTTGATAATTCCATAACACTTTCACAGTTATAAGCAATTAAATTATTCATTTTTTGAATCCAACGGCTCTGAGGGGTAAACTCAATGTTCCAGGAAAATATAAACTATATTTGTTCCAAAACTAATGTTCATTCATTTACTCATTCATTCATTCATGCATTCATCCATTTGTTCAGTACCTATTATGACAAACACGTACTGGGAGTATGAATCTGAATAATACCTTGTGCCTACCCACAAGATTGGTAGTTTGGTACATGTAGAAGAAGCTGTCCGTGTTCCGCCATATTTTCTACTTGCTGAAGGTAAGTAGATAGAATATGACTGATTCAAATGAATGACTACGGATTTTAACTTTTAGCTTTTAACACCTATGATGACTGAATGTGTACCCCCTCTCCCATTCCCAGGCTGTAGGAACCCAGCCATCAGCCAATCATAGATGAGGATTCAGTAGATAAACCTTTCCATTTTCCTTACTCCGTGGCTGGGACAACTTTGAGGAGCATTTTACGCTATCTCACAGAATACCCCACAGGTTTGAGCAGCAGTACTCCCAATGGTAGCAGACCTGATAAAGTACTTTATTAACTTAATTCTGTTATTCTTCTCACTTCTGCATTTTTCTACAAGTGTTTCCTGGGATTGCTTCCCAAACAAAGGCTTAAATTCTGATCTGTGTAAGAGTTTGTTTCTGTGGGAATGCAAACTAAGACAGTATGTATTAAACATAATGTTAGTGACAATATTATTTTATATAATCTTTGAAACAGCACAATAAAATAAATATTTCTTCATTTTGAAGATTAAAACACCCCAAGAAACTAAGCCTCAGAGTGGTCAAGAAAACAACTCAAGGGCAATCTGTAGATTGTGAGAGATCTGGAATTTTATTCTACGTATTTCTGGCTCTAAAGTTTACTGTCTTCTTGGTATTGTTATAAACATGATGAGTAGCAGTGGTAACAATGGAAAAATCTAGAGAATAACAACTATACATTAAAATCCATAGCCATTAATTTGAATTGGCCATTTTCCATCCACTTTCAAAGATAATTTAGTCTTGCCTATGTTTTTATCTTTAAAAAGACTCTCTTAATTGACACTAATTCACAGTTTAATTGGGCTTCCTTCCCAAGTCACCTATTTGTAAGGATCCACCCGCCCATAAACAGGCAGTGGCACTCTTGGCATCATAGGACTTTTCTAATAAAAATGACCACATTTTTGTCCTCCCATGGTACTTGAAATTTTTATTAGTAACTTCACTTTTTAAGAGATTTTCTGGACATTTTTGCTTTTTAATTGAGTCATATACAGTTTATAGAGTGCATCTCCTTGTCAGAATGGACCTCTTTGCTTCTCTTTTTATTTCTTTCTCCATTGTCTGATGCAGTGATCCCCAAACTCTGTTCTTTGGAGAAAAAAAGAAATTTCATGATGGCAAGAGTTCCATAATCTATTTTGAATCACATATGTAAAGAGGTTTAAATAGTTGTTTTAAATGATATGCCACAGCTAAGAATTCCAGGAAGTCACAAATGTGATCACATTATGCATTGCCATTACTGAATAGGCATCATTTATCAACTTCCCTTTAAGTTGTACAATGCCTATTGGATTAAACTGGCATAAGTTAATCATGCATTATGTATTATCCCATGAATATATTGTATATTTGTGATATTATTGTAGTCTTTATTGATAATTTCTTGCTGCTGTTAATTAGTCTCTAATGATGGGTTTTTGTTCTATATCTATGTCATGAATCATTATTGATATTTCACCAATACTTTAAAAAATATCTCTTGAGCAAATAAATATGGGAAATATGAATCTATAGGACTAATGTCCAAGTTCTCAGCATAGCATCTAGGTGTGTCTCATTCCTCACCCAGCTCTCAGCCCCATCATCTTTCTGATAGTACTTTCTTGATTATGCTGTTTCCTGAGTACAGTTCTCTGTGCACTCGTTGGTGACATTTTCCTCTGTCTGGAATGCTCTCCTTCTCTTCTCCACTCGATGAAATCCATTACAACCGAATCCAGATTATAATTGCTTCTGAAAACCCCTTTCCCTGCACAGGGCTTATCGTTCTTTCCTTTACTCTCATTATATTTTTGCATATATATGGTTCAACATTGAATCAAGTGGAATCAGAAAACACATAGGACAGAGCTCACCACATTGTGAGAATCAGTGACCGTGAATCAGAGCGAGAGGAACTGGAAAATGTTATGAAACAAGCTTCAGACAAAAAGGCTTTTCAAAATGACAGGCCTTGCTCCCAAGGACAAAGCCAGCTTGGAGCTTGGGCTGTCTAAGTCTGCACAGGAATTAGAGCTCCAGGAGGGCTGTCTAGCTCATTTTCTGGACAATGAGGTCCACACTTCCCCAAACTCCAAACCACTCTTACCTTCTATCAAGTATCGGGGATCTTTCTGTCTTCTCTTCTGATAATTTGGGTTCTTCTTTTTCCCCCATAGTTAATTAAACTGTCGGAGAGAGTTAGGCTAACAGATAACATTTTAACAATATTGCTGTCATTTAATTTATGATGTACTCCAACTGAAAGTTTCTCAAATTCAAGGCTTTTGTCTTTTTATAAAAATAATTATTAACACATTGTTAGTTTAATAGAGTCATCATTCTATAAAATGTTTTCTCTTTTAATTATATAAAGTTATAAGGTATTGGCCATGGAAGAGAAGTTGTGCCTCTTTTTCCAATTGCGACTTTGTTTTTTATATCACTGTGACTGCATGTAAGATTGAAGTCAGTAACGTATGGAATAAAAGCCTGATCATGTGCATAGGCAATATAAATGAAGAATATGAATTTATCTATAGTATTTTGATAGCGTCACTTAAGGTTTCTTTGCTTCGATTTTATTTGATTTTAAAAAGGGTTTATTTATGTATCTGTTTCTTTCCTCTTGGCATGTATGTATGAGGCTGCAAAGAGAGCCAAAATAAAGATCCTGTTTACCCCCTACCTCGGAGATGATGCAAGGATTTATTAAATAATGGTGACTCTTCTGTGGTTCCTTCCCATACTTAAGGCAATCCATACTGCTTCCCGTGGAGAAACCGCTGGGTGAATAACAAAAATGCTTTTTGATGGTGATGATGAAACCGAAAGATGGACTGCTTCTTTAGAGGATAGATTCTCTAATGTTCTTTTATTGACAGAGCGTTGGAAGAAGAGAAAATTATGATCTTCAGTCTCAGCTAGCCTGGAGTTCTTCCCCAAATCAATTCCTTATTCAAACACAAAATGTACTTCTTATGACCCCTCCTGTCTCCTCAACTTCTTCCTCAGGGCAAGGCCAATGAGCTTTTGAAGTGCTCTGGCTTAGCTGGTTTTTAATCTTCCTTTTAAAAACATCATTTGTATCTGGAATCTGACTCAGTTTAAACTGCTGAGTTATAGTATGCTAAAACCTAAGATTTATAAATGCACAGTAAGCATGTAATGCAGTAATCGAAGTAAGAAAATGGCATTGTGAAGAGCAGTTGATGTGCATTCTTGGGAATTATTTTTCAAGTATTAATACTGACTCTAAGTTATTTCAAAATCAAACATGCTTAAAAATATAAAAGAGCTAAAGGTCCTCTTTTGAAATGTCTATAAATTGTAGTCTTTTTGTAAGTCTCACTGATGGGAAGTTTATAAGAAAAAAACCCAGATTTTAAAAAATCAGCTGAAACTATGAACATAGAATATTATTTTCATATTAGGTTACAATTCCTCTTTACATTATTTTGCGCTTAAGCTGACATTTGTTTTATTTTTATTTTCACATATTTTAATCTTTGCCAGAATTTCTTAAAAGATATTGGGAATGAATATTTCCCAGATCCAGGTCGAGACAGTTGAGAAAGACCTTGAAATAAGTGAACTAGGGGCTCCTTTTAGGATATCTACAAACTATTCCTTCCTTAATGCAACTTCAGAAGAGCAGCATGACAAACATGAGTCTTCAAAAAATTTCCGCCACTTCGTAATTTCCATTTTATTTGGAATTGCCTTAATCATAAACAAAGTCCAAAGCTATAACAACTATTGAAAGTTATCACAAACTGGTGATTGAAAGTTATCACAAACTGATGTTTGATGGTTGGAAGGAGCCCACCACATCCTCCCAAAGAATGGAGTTTTTAAACTACAGAAGGACATGCCACTTGCTGAGACCCATTCTTATTGTTTACAGTGAACATTGGGTCTGCCCTTTGGGCTTGTCACCAGGCAGAGACTCAAGTAGAATAATGCTCCAAGACTATTTGTTCTTAATGAAAGCAATTTGTTAGGAGCTGAGGGGAAAGTGTCCTTTGTCCTTCTGCCAAAACAGCCTTGCTCTGCGTTTGTTGAGTTCGTTCAGATTAATGGGGATACAACAAGCTGCTTCAAGACAAAAAGCATTAGTGGAAAGACTCAAAAGCATTTTTCTAAAACAAGGCCAAATACCAGTAACCGTGTGTATCATGTTTTCAGACATCTATTATGAAAACTGCTTGAAATTCATTATTCTTAATTGTGTTTTCCTCTATGGTGTCCATGTGGCCCCATTATTCATTTGATAAAGTGTCTTTTGAGGAATGTTATTTTTTAGGACGATGGTAAGAATTGTAGGGATGGAAATAGCAATCGTAAGACCACCCAGTTTATAATTTATAGTCAGTCCACTTTAATAAGATTATGACCAGAACATATCATTCTATTTTATACTTACTAAGTCCTTCATGTTAAGCTCATTTAGGGAGAAAAAACTATAAATGTCCTTGAAGAGTAGCAGGTCAAAAAAATGAAGAGTAAAATACGGAGAAAGGTGATGAGCCATCTTGGAGAGAAAGACCATGGCCGGGCCATATAAGATGTTGTTATAATGAAGACTTTCGAGTGTCCTAATGACCACATAAACTGAGAAATATACACATTTGAAAAGAACTATCACCTGGACGCCTTTTTCAGTGAGAATTCTGTATTTTTCAATGACTTCAGCCTGACAACTCAATCCAGAAAGATTGAGTTTTATCTTTCTCACTCTTCCTTCTTATGGGCTGCACCGATTAAATGTTTATTTCAAACACTTTGTCTTCATTTCCTGTAAATTCTGTAACTTTGACCATACATCCCTCCCCAAGGATTCTAGGAGGGGGGAGAGAATAACACATTTATCTAAGTTGGAGTTTGAAAAAATGAAAAACACTCTGTTGAATTTTTATCCAGCCTGGTTCTGGATGACAGTGACTCTATGGGAAATAACAAATATTTCTCCATTGAGGAGACCTGCTGGACCACGCATGCACCCTAGAGGAATCATACTCAGTAGCAACACTTATCTTGCTGCCTTTATCATCCCATTCAGGAAATTTTAATTTTTCTCTTTGAGTTTTTAATGCATCAGTGGTTCAGTTTATTTGTGGGAAGTTCTGACCAGTTCTCCTCTTACTGTATTTATATTTAATATTATTCAGAGGACTTTATATGTGAAGTTTTTATTTCTACAGTTCTTTTTACAACAGATTATAATCTTTTTTTATACAATCTTATGGCTAGGAACTGAGTTGAGGTAAAAGAAAAGACAACAGATGGTCTTTAAATGGAGCAGCTCATCTATACATTAGGTACCTACTGTGTTCTCTTTGCACTTTAAAATATTTTCAGTAATTGTTAGTTTGTCACTGTAAGTGGATGTAATACTGGTCAAGAGTCTTGGTTGGCTGCAACGGAGATGGATGGCTTCTGTGCTGCTGTCATAGGATTCTAGGCTTGCTGCCCCAACAAGTATTTCAATCCTATTCTAGAAGAAGCAGCAAGGAAGGTAAGAAGGGAATTCATCATTTTCAGTCATGTGGCTCTTTAATTATAGGCCTCTTTGTTGAGGCTACTCACTTGAGTATCTATTAGGATCAACTGTGATGTTGCATTGGCTGCTGAATACATATCCACTGAGAAAAGCATTGAGATGACCATCTCAAAATTGTCATAAACAGAAATGACATGTGATCACCCCCAAACTGTTAACAATTGGAAATTGGCTGTTACTCTAGTGGATGAGTTTTGGTGTGATATAAATGATTAAATCACAGGGAAACAATTTGCTTATCACTTTCTTCATTTACAGTAGAGATGGCAAAATTTGGCCACTAGAGTTTTGTTAGCAATAACTGAAAATTGAAGTGTAATTTTATAGGGCTTAGCAAAGTCTTCATAGTAACAACAACAAAAATAACAACATACGCCAACTAACAAGATAATTGCACAGATCATTGGGAGACGTACTTCCTTGACTGCAACGTTTATGCTAAAACGTGCAATAATGTTGCTAAGATTCCACCAACATCCATCAAATACAAATTAATTAATGGATTCATGCTACATCTAAGTATTAGCGCACAGTTGTTTTAGAATTAAATTATAAGGTAGACTTGTACACATAGTAAATAACAGGCTAGCATTTTTTGTTTAATTTGTGGTGATACATTATTGGGGAGATTGTTCTTGCACTAAGAACATATAGTCTTAAAACCTTAAATAGAAGAGAGAAGCATAAAAGTCTAACTAAAGAAACTGCAACTAAAGGAGCTTGAGAGACATACAAAAAAGAGATATTTTGGTCCTGTATGCCTGATACTGATAGACACTGAAAAATATAGCATTCCAACAGTGTTCTATTTCTTGGTGCAGACAGAACTGTACTCTGAATTCCACATATTGATTATCTGAATTAATTAGTTGCCTTGGTGCCATTTGGATGTATTTTTAAAGATAAAACAGAGAGAGGCAAGTAACCCAATAAATTTAATTTAATTTATAATTTCCTCCCTTCCCTCTGTCTTTCCTTCCCCCACTTTCTGTCCTACTTTCATATTTTTCTCCATTATACAAATAATTTTAACTGATTCTAATATTAATTTACTTTAGCCAAACAAATCAGAATTAAATCTGACACTCTGGGAATATAAATATGGTTCAATTTATACTGATCATTTTTATATTACACTTAAAAAATACTGCTTATGTTTCACATGTATCAGAATTAGTCCATTGCCTGGAATGCACAACAGAGACAAGGTTGTCAGATAATGATTATCTTCCTTGCTATCTGTTCCTTCAGCTGTGGGTGGAAAAACAAGAATTGGGAAAACACCAGTATCAGATCTTCATACCTTTTTTTTGTTTCTTTGCTCAAAGGCTGATGCATAATCCAACCACCTGAGAGAAAAAAATCAAGGCATAAGAATATGGCTATTTGTTGATCTTCAAAAAAATGTCTATACCTTCTAGATTTGATTCAAATTTGAATTTATTCTCCCAGATTTCCTCTATGTTGAATTTACCTGAAGCATATTTATATTTTGGCTTTATATTTTTACTAGATTTCTGACTAATGGGGTATACATTTTATAACAAAATGGTACTATACTTGGAGAAGGACGTGAGAGATATATTATCCAAAATCTATCTAAGTCTCTTTTTTAATAAGCAGGTTCATTCCCTTCTTTCAAGTCATCCGTATTCCCAACTGGAATTTCACTATAAATAGAATCTAATCATTTCTAATTCCCTTAAGAGTTGAAAACCTACAGCAATATGGGAAGGTTTTAGCTACAACTCTATCATTTCTATAATAAGTATAATTTCACTAGCTTGTTATACGAGACTGTTATTGAAGAGCTTTGAGTCATTGGATTTTGAATTACAGAAAATATCATAACAGTTGGCATATTAACAGGTAAATGAAATCCTGAATTGGTAGGGCACTTTCTAGTAGAAAATCAATGTTCAAAATAACATTGTTAATTAGAAAACAATTTGTAACTTGTACACTATTGTAAAATTATTAATAACAATTTGTGTTAATAAAGAATTTTATATAGAGATTGTTTATTCTAGCATAGGATTTTTCCAGAAACAATTATTTTAGTCATTTGAAAAAAAATTACCTATTTTGAATATTGTGAACAAAGAATAGTAGAGAATAAGTTAAAACAATTTTTCTAAATAAATACTGTATATTGTCCTTCCAATGTGCTTTACATATACAAATTATATTTTTATGAAACATATGGAAAATATTTAGTAAAAAATAAGTAATTTGCCTTTATAAAAGTTTGGAAATTCTTTCCATCTTTATTGAGATATAATTGACAAAATTGTAATATATTTAAAGCCCATAATGTTATAATCTGTTAAATATATAATGTGAAAGAATTTCCACAATCGAGTTAATTAACACATGGGCATATTGTTAATTAAAGAGCAAGAAATGTAGAAGATTTTGGTCTAAATTTTCCAATGCCACCAGGATAATGATATTGGTCAAGTTTTTCAAATTCTTATACCATATTCACTGTGTTAATAGTACAGAAGCCTAGGACTTGAAATTTAGAAAACTGTAAAATATGAGCATTTTCTAGCATGAAAATTTAAAAAGTGATGACTAATCAAAGAAAATTCTAAAATATGTCATATATGGACAATGTTAAGTCTAATTTCCAAATTTTATAACTTTTTCAATTCACTAGTGTGAAAGAAATACAAGTTAACAATTTTAATCCCTAATTGTCAAATTGTTCTCTCAAAAACTTGCTGAAGTTACTTAGTTTCTTAATTTATCAAAATTAAGTGACCCGGATGTGAGAAGATAACTGTTAACATTTTCATGAGCCTAATATACCACTGAATTCAGAGCCTGACCCTTTATGACTTCAAAAGTACGGTTTTGGGGAGAGTCAGAGGATAGAGAAGTAATGAAGGCCAGGAGGGGGTTGATGGCAGTGAGCATTGAATGGAAGAGACAAGTCAAGATGTTTTGAAGGTATATTCTACAGACCGGAACATAAATTGGATAAAAGGGGTGATGAATAAACAAACAAGTTGATAGCTTCTCAGCTCTTTAACACATAAAGGACCTAGCAATTATAATGGCAAATACTTAAAAGAGAGCTTACTATTTATGTGTTATATATGTATATGTATAAATATGTATTACATGTATATATGAATTATATGTATATGTTATTTAATCCTCAAAACAATCCTAAGAAGTGGATTTTATTACCACTAATTTTACAGATGCAGAAAGAAAGGTAAAATAGATGTTAAGTTACTTGCCCAAAACCACCCAGCTAATAGAGCTGAGCTTTAAACCTAGGGAATGTGTTTCTGGGGTCTTTGGTCTTTAACATGCAATACTACTGTGCTATACAGTATTGCCTTTCTATATAATTTTTTCCCAATAATACATGCCTGTGAGTCTGGACTATTGGGGAATTTTGCTTCAACTATTTAATTTTCTTCTTACTTTGTTTCTAAGCAGGAGGATCAAAAGAGTTATAGGCAGAATTTGGGTACTACACTGAGGGAACTCTAGCACATTCTGGACTGGGAGTGCCTGCTTAACCCAAAGTGTCAAGTTGCTTCAGATGACTCACATAGGTCCCCTAGATGTGTAAATAAGTCTCGCTTCACTGGAAGCTTCCTCCACAATGAACAGTACTGCAAGAAGTTCTATTAAGAGCTTGCTGAAGAACCCTGGACCAATTTGCCCTGATTTCAGGTTCCTCATGTGTAAATTAAAAGGAATCCATTTGGGATCCGAAACAGTTAATGACCCTATGACATCGGATTTGACTGTGGGCTAAGAGCTTGGGCTTTGAAATCCAGAAGACATAGCTAGTTCGTAGCGATAATAAAGTGGTTAAGAACATACAGCTGTAACCAGAATGCCTGGGTTCAAACTCCAGCCCCTCTAGTAGCTAGTGATGAACTTGGAAAAATTCAGTTCACTTTGTGTAACTCATTTTCCTCATCTGTAAAACATGTAAATTATTGCTACCTCATAGACTTTCTATAAAGATTGAGTGAGATAATATATGCACAAAATTTCAGAAGTGTCTGGCTTTTGGTAAGCCCTCAATAAATATCCATCCTAATACTAAGGGAGCTTGAGCAAGGCACTTACCGTTTTAAGCCTCAGTTTTCTCACCAATGATATGATGACAAAATAACCCCTGCCTCATAGAGTTGTTGTGAGGCTAGTAGATAATAAATGGAAAGTCTTCATACAGTGCCTAGCATAAAGCTAGAGCTTAGTGACTGTGTTATCATTATCAATTGTCATCCTCCTGCTTTTCTACTTTGCCCTCTTGGACATGATTGCCCTGGTGTCTACACACACCTCCATGCCTGGCTGTCGCCATGTGATTGTGCTACTTTGATAAGAACTGGGATTGGGGGGGATGCAGAGATGTGGGGAGAGCTAGATTGGGCCAGTTGATTGAGAGAAAGGCTGGAGCCACAGTGCAAAGCCCCACATTCTGGAGCAGGTCTGTGAATGGAGCTGGCTGTGCTGCCACAGGAACATGCACACTGGGCAGAATGAACAGTTTATTTGAACGCCCAGAGCCTGGTGCAAGCAATATTAGTGTGGGGTGATCACTAGGCCAGCCTGGCTGACACTAATGGTCTCCAGGTGACTTTGCCTTTTGTTTCTCTAAGAATATTTGGGAATCAGCTCTGGCAGGGCCATGGCTGCTGGCGCTGAGATATATCTTACAAGTTGAATATAGGTGCCAGTGTGAGTGAGGAAACGTAAGTGGGATGGGAGCAAAGGAACATACATCATACGGCTCTTCATACTCGTTATTACCCACTTAGTCACATGGACAGAACTGGGTAAACTCCTCTTTATACTGAAACTTTTTACTATACATAAACACATGCAGATAAGTAAAAATTTCAGTAGAGACTCATATTTTCAAGCAAACATATTAAATAAATTAATTCATTTAATTCTCATAATAACTATAAAAAACCAAGAATTCTAATCCTCATTTCACTGATGAGGATGGGGAAACTCAGGATCAGGGAGGTTGAGAAACACACCCAAATTCTATTAGTAAATAAAAGAACTTGGATTTGAAAGCTGATACATCCTTTATTATAATATGTTTGTGTGTGTGTGACATATGTGTAGAGATAAAAATGTCACTACAACTCAAGAATGTAAGAAATCGATCTTTTTCTGTAATTAAATTCAATTCCTCTTTGAGCCTACACTATACTCAGTGGCAGAAATATAATCTTAGTCAACTTTGTACCTTTTTCTTGAGGCTTAATCTAAGCTTTCGAGGGCTTGTCTTGGAATATAGCCAGGGAGGGACACTTCATCCTTAATATTGCATATCCATGATCATGTCTTTATAGATACCCCTTATTCTTATAGAGACCATATTATTTATCATCTAAACCAGATGCTTTCCAGAATAAAAGGGAGTGCTGAAAATAACTATGCTAAGACAAAAATATAAGGGAGAACTACCTAAGGCAGACCAGATGTATGGGCACTATGAATATCTCTTTCTGCCAGGTCTCTTCTGGTCTGGCAACTCTCTCTGATGCTTTTGTGCCAGAGCTGGGCCACAATGGAAGATGTGTGGAAGGAGAATATGTCAGTCCACAGAGGCAGTGCAAAGGAGAACATGGCTGCAGCAGTGTGCAGTGAGGGTGAAAACACATTACACTGCCCTTATGTGCCATTTGCTCTTGCTCTACCCCCTGCCCTGCAATTACCTGCTGTGAGACTACACCAGTGTCTGGGAATCTTTCTGAGGCCATCCATGTTCTGTCTGCTTCAACTCACATGAATCCCTTCCTTCTCCAGGCTCTTCTCATCTTCCCAAGCTGTATATGGGAAAGACAGCGCAGGTCTCCTCCATTCTGGGAGTCCACAAACCTGCTCTGGGTTCATCAAAGCAGTAGTAAGGGAGGCAAACAGCTGCAATAGAAGAACTCAAATCCCACTGGCTTTTATCTTGGTTACCTCCTCCTTTAATTGAGTATTTCGTGGGCATGTTTTCGTTCACACTAAGATTCAGGGTACAGGCTCTTTCCATCTTGTGGCTCCATCATCTTCTAGGGTCTTTTCTGGAAGAGAGACAGAGCATGGAGGGCGAGCAGAGAGTTTATAGAAACTGATCCTAGAAGTAGTGTACATCACTTCTATCCACTTAAACTGAAAGGGGGCTGAGAAATGTGATGTAGCAGGAGTCAAGGACTAAGAGGGAAAACCTGAATTTTTGTAACATGAGTGTTCCTGGGCAGTTAGCCCGTGTTAATCATTTTGAGAAATTTACTTGAACTGTATTGGAAAATTTTAATTGCTGTCGTTGTAGAGAAAAACGTACCCCAGTTGTTTATACTTGTAAAGTTGAATAGCTAAAACTCAGCTGAAACATTTTGACTGGAATTAATGCTTTATGTCCTTGTTTATTTTTAATGTTCACACAAAATGAAGATGGTAAAAAACTTGATAATATCCAAGTCTGTCCTCTGTTTTTCCATTCACATTCATATTCTTGTGATCCTTTGACTTCACTGGAGTCATTCGACTTCAGTGGAGAGTTCAAATGTTCAGAAGTAGCAATAACAGAAAGAAAAGTCGTCTTGTTTCATTTTGTTTTGTTTTGAGATGCTATTTGAGATTAGAGTATTTTCCAACCTGGTAGAGCTTAAGCACATTGGCCTCACCTGCCTCAGTCTCACTGGTATTGTTCCTATCAGTTTGGTGAGGCTGGAGTTTTCAAACTGGCCAGCTATGTAGGTCCAGCTACCTCTTGCAAAGTACAGTAGGAACATTTTGTAAGCACTTCCTTGTTTTGAAGTTCTGAACAATGTCTCACACTTAAATGTGGCTGTATTTTTGACCTAAGTCACTGGAAAGGAAGGTTATGCATCAGAAGTTCAGAGGAGCATTAGTGATGTCTCACTTCATTGAGTGTCTCAGAACTGAAACTGTTGCAATGAGGCTCCTTTACCATTCTAGAAAAGAGCACACTCTTAGGAATGGCTTCTGTAACACCAGCAGATGTGTCAGTCATGGTATAGAAATTCCTTGAGCCTCCCTCCCCCTTCCCACCTTCCCTACTCCCACTCCCAACCCTAATATCTTGACTGGGGCTAGCAATAAGCCTTCAAATATCAGCCTACTGATTTCTGAAAACTTGGTAAGTAGAAACTGGAAAAAATGAAACCAATTATCTCTCTCTGTATATTCCTATAAAAAGTTAGATACTTGAATTCATCTTCAGAGCAGAATGTGTTTTTTGCTTGTTTTGAAAAAATAATCTGGATTGTCCCTTTAATTTCAAAAATATAGAAAGTATCCATTCACTGGTCTTGAGGAAAACTGTAGAAATCTGAATGGTTGTTCTTGGATAGGGCAGCTAAAGGTTCTGTTTAATAATTTAAGCTGTTGTGTAGGTTGAGTACAACTTATGTTGCTTCTTATGTGAGGGAGACTGTTATCCCCATTGATGCATTTGGATTGTTCTTGGCTTGTAAAGTAGAACAGTGTATTTGTGGAGATGTGTCCTGATTGAGCAGTAGCTTATGGAGATGATAAGCTAAAAGGGAGAGAACCACAGAAAGGGCTTTGACTTTGTCATTGAGAGAGCCATTAAAAAAGGAAATGAGCTGTTCTTTGTGTATTTGAGCTTAGATGATTTGTTGATGTCATAGTTGTTAATAACAAAAATCTCAGAAAGTCTTGATTTTTGGATTAGTCATATACAGTATCATTCTTGCCTGTAAATTGCCCAACTATTTTGAATTTATCTCCTTTTTTTGTAATATCCTATCAAATACAAGCAAATATGCTAATAATTTCATTTTTAATCTCTTTTTCTAAAGCAGGATTTTTTCACCTTAACATTTTAGGATTAGTATTTCTTTGTTGTGAGAGGCTGTTCTGTGCATTGTTGGATATTTACCGGCATTCATGGCCTCTATCAACTAGATGCCAGTGGCACACCCTCATCCAGTTGTGACAACCAAATATGTCCCCAGACATTGCAAAATGTTGCCTGGGAGGTAAAATTCCCTCTGGCACATAACCACTGGTGCAAAGCCACCATTCTATTCCCTGAAATCCTTCTCTGTTATCATGGGTGGTGATAGTCTTACTATGTCTGGCACTGAATCTTATGCTACGTGTTTTAGGTTTTTAGTTACGTCAGCACTTCACTTCTGATACCAATTTTTATATTAGCCATTGTTATGGACTGAAAATTTGTGTCTCCCTAAAATTCATGTATTGAAGCCTTAACCCCCAACATGATGGGGCCTTTGGGAAGTAACTAGGGTTAGATTAGGTCAGGGAGGGGGGCCCTCATGATGGAATTAGCAGCCCTTCTAAGAAGAGGAACATGGAGGAAAGGAAATACGAGGACATGGAGAAAAGTAGGCATCTGCAAGCCAGGGAGAGAGCTCTCAGCAGGAACTGAATTGGCCAGCACCTTGATCTTGGACTTCTCAGCCTCCAGAACTGTGAGAAATAAATCTCTGTTGCTTAAACCACTCTATTTGTGGTATTTCATTATGACAGTCTGAGCTGACTATGATAGTCATTTTTCTCTATTATGCTAAGTAAATAGCTCAAAAATTTGAAAAATCACGTTGCTTGTAACAATATAAGTTTATTCCTGCTCACGTTATGTGTTAACTGAGGCAGCTGTGAGCTGTCTGTGTGCCACACATCTTCTTCATGCCAAGATGCAGAGTGTATTAACAGTCATTATTTGGAACACGATCTTCTCAAAGCAGAAGGAAAAGTGGAAATGCTGAACTACGTGATGGTTCTTAAGTTTCTGCAAGGATGAGGAATCCTTGAGATCTGCTATGCCAAGGCAAACTGTATGGTCAAGCCTGAAGTCGATTGAGAGGGAAAGTTTACTCACATAGGAAGACACTGCAAGTCAAGACAGTAAGTAATTGGGAACAATGATATAATGTCCAATGGATGGAATCATTCATTGGAGATATGTGATAAAATTTCATCCCTTTGGGCAGCAGATACAATTTCCCCTATAGGATGTGGATATTCCCACTAACAATTTATCGTTCTGTTAAGAGGTAATTCTTGAGCAAAAATGAGAGGCTGAGGATGCAGGACTTACACTGGAGGGAGGGGGAAAGCTCTTCTTTCATACAGGCAACACAACATTTGGGTCTAGACTCCAAGGCATACTACTTAAATGTGCATAAGTGCTCCAAAGGGAGTAATCAGGAACTAAGCAGAGCTTCTTTGAAGGAAACTGTGAGCAAGTCTGACCTGGGTACCATGAGAGTGGTCTCATCAATTAGCAGCTGTAAGTAACTTTCTGTATCACGTTGTATTCCCTACACCTTCAGGTAGTACTCTAAAATGTTGCAGGTTATGCTGTGGCTGTGCTGATTTAAGGCAAAAGTTGGCAAACTCCTTCTAGAAGAGGCAAGATAGTAAATATTTTAATCTTTGTGAGCCATATGGTCTCTGGCTCAACTACTCAGTTCTGCATTGTATCATGAAAACAACCATAGATAATACAGAAACAAACCTGCGTGTCTGTGTTCCAAAAGAACTTTATTTATAAAAACAGGTGGCAGGGCTGGAGAGCTGTAGTTTGCCATTTCCTGGTTTTGAGTAAAAGCTTGCTTTGTGCTTAAGAGTGATGAAGAGACACTTGACCCCACCCCAAAATATCATTTCCTCTCTAAAGCCAGAAGAACTGCAGGAGGTGATCAGCGGAGAAGCAATGCAGTGGTCAGGATAGGGAGGCCACAGGAGGGCGAATGCAGCACCTAACCTCCAAGGACCCGCTGAGAGATATCAGAGGGGGTGGAAACCAGACCCTGACACAGCAATATCACCTCGAACTTGGAAAACACACGTTCTTTCTATTGTGTTTCATAGACCATAATCTTTTTCTATGTAGTTCCACCAAAACTAAAATGTTCTGAGATATTTGAATGTTTTCAGATTCTTCCAAAGTCTTTACATTATGTGCATATGATGATCTAATTGGTGTATTCAATCTGGAATTACCAGCAATCATCATCACTGATCCACATAATTAGCCAGACAGTTTAGTTAACAGATAGATCCACAAGTATTTATGTCGTTGCTCCGTGTGCCTAGCACAATGCAAGAACTTACAGGACATGTAGAAGCAGAAATCATAGTCTGATCTGGGAAATCAAGTGCTGAAGACAGTTCAGGGCAGAAGTCCAAAACTGACTGAGCCAGTTGAGAGGGAGAGAGCAGATATCGTACTGGTGGATATTTTATTTCCGGGTTTCCCCTGGGTTGGCTAGGCCCAGCTACCGCTGTTAGGAGGAAAGGCTGCTCATGCATTCTTATCATGCTCAAAGGGAGCCACATTGCTGGAAGAGACTGAGCCTAGAAGGGCCAGAACTTGGTAATCCCTGCAAAAACACCTGGGGGGTAGCAGTGGTTGACATTGACTTTATGCTTTTTCACTGTGCTAAAGTCTTGCCTGTTAACATTTCTTTCAAGAACTTTCTCTTGGCCTAGGAACTTGACTTTTTCCTCTGAAGACTGAAATTTCCCTCCTTTTAACTGAGTCACTGGCTGGGTCCTGACATTTTGCTGCTGAACTTCCCTGAGTCTAATGGAGTTGGCTGACCATTGAATGACCTTTTGGAACACAACCAATTCCTAGGTTGGGGACTACTTGTCTCTGGATAATTGCCTCTCTCCCTTATTTTGTTTGTAAAAAGGGATCAGTAAGATGAAGGACTGTATTGTGAGATTTCTATTCCTGCTTTTTTTTAATAAAATAAAATAATTTAAAATGATTGAACTGTTGAATTACATTTTCGAGATAAAAAGGCTCTTAAAGACTTTCTAGTCCATCTTTTAGAATTGAACTAATAACAATAATGATTTCAGATTTTAAAATAATCAAACTAAAAGGATATAGTAATTTTGTTTGTTATGTGCCCTCTCAGAGCCCTTGAAATATTTCATTGCAGGACCAGAGAATCCATTAAAATATAGTCAGAATTTTAAAGGTCATAAAGCACACTAAGAAAATTCAATATATGCTCAATGAAGAGTTCATAATTAGTAGTGGTAGATTATGATT